AAAAGCAAAGCGTGTACTTGATCTAGCAGCGATCCTGGCCAATCATGGCGTTCTGGTCCGGTGTCCTTGCTCGGAGTTACTATGAAAACATTGTGACCTCTGATCACGTAACTTTTAAGCATCTCGAAGATCTCATCTCTGATGTTATCTGCGACTACGATCAAATCTGATGGATGCGGATTGTGGATTAACCATAAAAGCATGTCATTTAACATTCTCTCAAGTCTCGCGGGTTTATCCCCTGGAAAATAAAATAAATGAGAGACATAGACAGATTGCATAAATGAGACATAGACAGCTTACATACGTATAAGAAAAGAGAAAGAAAGAGAATTCACCTGCGAGAATTAAGTGGTTGATTCTGGATTCCGATTCCGGCGGCTTGTTCCAAGACTCGTTATTCATCTCATCAGCATAAGAAGAGATTGGCATGTTACCACTAACACAATACGCTTCAGTAAAAGCTGATCTGATTTTCGTATAGATGGTATCAGCACTCCAACCAGCAGGGAATGGGCAATCCTTTGCATCCCAGAAGACGCCTGTGGAAGGCTCTTTGACGAGTATCCAACGCTCTGCAAAGGTTATAATACATAATACCATTAACTATTATTTGAATCGATCAGATGAAATTCTAAACAAACAAGAGATGGAGAGAGGTCTTACGGGAATGAGGAATCCGTGGCCTAGTCTGTCCTCCATCTACAAATTATGTACGAGCATACACCGAGTCTGCAGACTGAAAGGGGAAAAAGCTACCATCACCATGTGCTGTCGGGTCTACAATGAGAACAGGGTGTTGATATCTCGTTTGCAAACACCGAAGAACCCTCTTCGTCTCCTCAATTTCTGGGATATGTTTTGAGATTACCACAAAAGCTGTTCTTAGAGGATACAATCCTTGTGCGAAACGAACAATGTCGAGAGAAATTTGACCAGCAATCGACAGTTGACCCCCTGAAGAATCAGAACAGAGATATTGATTACAGACATAAATGTAATTAAAGTGTAATGACCTGAACAGAGACATTGATTAAGTATAGGAGTTCATTCACCTTTATACGGTGGCATGTAATGAATACAGGCCTCGTCCAAGACATTCAGAAATAAATGTATGATTACCCGTGGGTAACCTCTATAAAACCAACCATTCAGCCTCTATAACTTACGTATCTCGGCCACGGCGTACTTCTTTCCAAGTCGATGCAGAATCTGTTTCCTGAAAGATCGTCTCATTCATGCTGCCAAAACAAAATGGTGCACATGTATATGTATCAGTTTGAGTAACTAGTTTAGTTTTTTTTTAAAAGAAGTTAATAAGGGAGATATTAGAGCATACTCCTGAATCTTGTGAACAAAATCGGTTTATCCCATCTTTCAATCACATCTTCTGCAATCTATCTACAAGGTCCAAATGCATTGCCAATTCACAAGTACAAAGCAGTGTCAGCAAAGAGATTATTATTGCAAGATCAGATATTTGAACGAAACTGAGTATAGAGAATTTGTTAGTTACCTTTTGGCCGTTGCTCACTCATCCCGCTTAGATACAGCATAACCTTGCATCTAAACCAAAGTTACAGAAAACACACTCAACAAGAGCCTTAAGAGCGTTGAAATTCTTAGATAGAATAAAGAGTAGATTCACGAAAGCTCTAAAATACGTTGAACAGGCTTCTTCCAATTTG